AAATTGATAATAATTACTTGTAACTTATTTGTTACACTACTATCACATAATCATTCTAAAGTTATGATCGAGCACTAAGTAAGTTGTAAAATGTTGAAATTTAAAAAGCGCTTTGAGCACTAAAAATAAACAAATATTTATTTTCTAAGCATTTAATCTTTTTTTATATAAGTGTCTACACTTCACGCGACAGCACCGTCTAAAAAGCCTAAAAACATTCCACCGGGCTATACTCTAGTTATTCATAGCCAATTATTTTGAATGCAAGTAGATTCGCAAAGATCGCTCGCATAATTATCTATGTATATACTTAAATAGATGTAAGGACATTGAAATCAATCAACTTGATAGTTTTAAAAAAAAAAGGTAATTTCTATAAATTTTAAATTACATCGTATCAAAGTAAAATATAAATAAACATAAACAATAGTTTTACAAAATTTTAATGTATACATTATTCTTAATATAAAAGGCAAACCGCTTTTGTTCAAACATGAATAAATTTTCATAACCAAACATTCGTTTACAGAACATTTCGTATTTCGTGAGAAACAAACACGCTCATTCAAAAAACATTATTCAAAAATAGTGTACCTTGTCCGTATTTTCGAAGTGTACGTGCTTCTTAGCTTGCGGCATGACGACCAACAACCATCAGGCTCTATTCACCTTCTTGACACCCTTCACATTCAAGTCTGCACATTTGTCTTTGTGTTTCTCATCGCAGGCGTCTGTCGGCTCGTTAATTTCCGGTATCTTCTTATCGTTGTGTCCGTCCGCTTGTGTTAATACTTCTTGGACGTGGATCGTGAGCTCTGGTCGTACGACGTGTGTGAAGGGTAGAAGGGCGCCGGCTACGTCCATAGTGTTGTTGATGTTGCGGTGCCACAGCTCGAGCACGACACTCCGCCGCTGCTACTTGTAACGAGGTGGGCCGAGCCAGCCGCAGCCGAACACCTACGTTATATGAATATTACAATGATTTCAATAGCTGACATACCGCATGGGTAGGGTTGCAAAACATTTCGTCAACGAAATATAATATTTTTCAAAAGCTGGTACCAACAGCTATAAGTGCCTTCCGAAGCACTACGCTATCATACACGTAATTATTGTAAATGAACAACACGACATTTCCTAAGTCAGCGGCTAGCTCTATCGAATTCTGAATTTTTTAATAATACTCGTATATTCTGAAGAAGACTCGAGAGATCACGTTGATCTAAGTAATATTCTTCAATACTTTGCATATTTTCATTCACATAGGATATTACGTATAGAGAACGTTATATTGAATATTTTCCAAGGGCACAGTATATATTACCAACACAAGGGTTGATATTACTAACACACAATGTGTAGGCGACTTCCTGAGATTCGTAATCCATCACAATTTATCAAATATAAGATGGAAATTGAATGAAAACTCACGTATCCGTAACATACAATGTATCAAGCTAAAGCAATAATGATTTATTGTATTAACAGTAGCTTATTGTGGATTGCAAATGATATTTTTCTTACTTTTAAAGATGGCTATTTTCTGTCGATCATTATTTAGTATGACTATTTCATCTGTGACTTTAGAAATAGGCAAAATGTGATCTTGATTTATGTCAAACTAAGAATAAAGATTACTACTGATAATCATATTGTTTAAAGGTTTATAATTATCTATTTAAAAACATAAAAAATCTACAACATGAATTTTTCTTCTCACAATATGTTTTAAACTAATGGTGTTTATATACATGCTGAATGATAGCATCATTACTCGTGTATGACAGGGAGGTATTTATATGCTCTTAGACTGGCGGTAGCAACTGTTAAGTTAGACTAAAGAGAAATTGCTTCTTCTGAGCTAGGAGTTCGTAACTCTTGGACCGCGTTGCGATTCATAGGTTGGAAGTTTTAATATATGTGAAAACGCGACGAAACTCAGTTAGCGCGATGCAGGCATCAGGGCGGTATCTCGTGAGTATGCTAGATAACTAACTTGAAGCTAGCGTTCCTCCGTCGATTGTTGTGCCGATATTAGTGTGATTAGATGGATGTTGTAACGTTCTAGTTTGTATTTTATACTTAGTTAAATAAAATCTATAATTACCTGACAGACGACTAATGCCAGCAGTAGCAACAGCAGAAGTAATATCACACCCCAGACGACACCGAGTTGTGTCAACGCGAACACATATAAAGTGCGATGACACCACTGGTTGGGTTCGAAAAGGGTGGGCGCGTAGTCCGGCCACAATATGCCCATGGTCCAATAGTTACCAAACGCAAACCTGCGGAGCAGACAGAAGTCAAAATAATGGTTACAATATACACTTAATTTCTAGTCATAAACCCTGCACGCGAAAAATAAATGCGGAGACACCTGTGGAAAGAAGAAGAAAGAAAATACGCTTGCATCCAGCAAATCAATAATTTCAATGTCGATATCGTCGCGCAGGGTACTATACTTTGAGAACCTGATGCTCGGTTATTTTGCCACAATTTAAAAAATAAAAATAACAGACGATGGGTTATTACAACTTGTTTGTATTTAGCAACCTCATAGTTTGGTTGTTCTCTCAATAAATGTTAGATTATAGTAACTAACAGTTGTAGAAAGTAAATCAAAAAACTTTTTATCAACAAACATGCTGTAACATTATTTTATTTGTTTCAATATACGTTATTTGAAAGTAAACATTATTTTACAGTTATGGCTCCATATTTAGCTATATAAAATAATTAGTTATTTAATATTGGATTAGAGGCAGTGATAGGAAGTCACTCCTCACTCGACTTGCAAATAAACCCAAAGTAGATACGCGCTTTCCTTATTACTTCTCGCAAAGAGTTCTAGAGACACACAGATTGCACAGTGTAATAAAATATATATTACATAACATTTTCTGCCTGGCATGAGTCACTGCAAAAGACCGATAAACCAGCTCATAACTCAACAATATCAGGTAACAAGCTTCATAGGACGAGATTGTTATTCGTACCGAGAAAATTGTGTTAAATTGTCGGTATTACGTTGCCTTTGTATTATATGTTATGATAAAAAAATGAACACTATCAAATATCAGCGCCTCTATTGGTTTCAAAGTGTCGTAATGTCTGAGGTTTCTGGTTCCATTTGCGTTTGAATTAATATAGAAAATTTACTTTAGTATGTTGTCTTAGGTTTGGGTTTTGTACTATCCTTGTTTCGGGATTCTATTACAAAAGAGCTTCAACTACATTTGATATCTGAGCAATGTACGATATGTAGTAGTCTAATATTTACCCAGCCAGCACACAATCCAGATAAAAGTAAAATTATATTACAATAAGCAGCTTATAGCTACATAACCTTTGTATAACAACAGCTGAAGTGATAGCTTTATTCTGGATAAAAGATTCTTTATGGCAAAATTACTCTATAAGCTGGATAAGTTCTGTATTAAATTGAATATCTTTCTTTAAGCTGGATAGTAATCATAAGTAGGACAATTAAGCAAACTATATTCAGATAACCGCAACTCAGCTTGCTATTAACTGCATTGTAGCTGAAAATTCAGAATTAGTTGTATAAGTTTGGCAAACGGATACAAATCAGCTTCCTTCTCAATAATCATAGATATACTTGCTTTAAGCTGGATAACAGTTCAAATAACCTTCATCAGAATCTGAATATTTATCTTTTATAGAACTTTTATGCAGCTAACATCTGCATAGAAGAAAATAAGTCATGTTTTTTACCGAACTTATACAGCGAATGTTCAACTTTACCTTATTATTCAGATTTAAACAAATAACTGTATTTATATTCCATTTATATTCAGTTTAAAGCTATAAAATATAGAAATTTAACATTTTTATACAGAAAGGAACTGCGTCTTGTGAAGTTTTATTTATTTATTTTTCTAGGAAAACCAACAACTAATCAAACGTTTTTATTAACAGATGATAGCCCTATTATTTTTAGGTTTATTAGGTAATTATAAGTGTTCAAGAGATGAAAAGTTTTTGATTTATTTAATGACGTACAAATAAAATTCTATAAATATTGTGTTTTTATTAGTGAAATCCTATATAGGTATGTTTTTGTATCTTAACATTGAAAGAAATTCAACGGTTTATTTACTTACCAAAAGAAACTCAGACTAATGTAACGAAATCTTCTGTGAAAGAAAATATCTTTGAAGAGTTGGCCAATTAATGTTCTAAAATCAGACGTAAACCCTTGAGGCGGTTCCTAAAGCTTATAAAAACCTTCTTTCAATGCGACAAGACCAACATAATTAAGTCAAATTACGGATTGTTTTCGTAATCAAAACAATAAACAAAAGAAAAAAGTATTTCTCAAAAATAGAAATCGAAATGAACGAAATCACTGAGCGTGCGTGTTCAATATTTGAAATTCAAAAAGGAAATATGACCATGATTAGTAGTAGTAGTAGTAGTTCCGTACATGGGACAGGCGAAGGAACTAAGCCTTACAGCCAAACCTTGGGTTTGACCATGATCATTCGTCAAGACGGAATATTGTTGTTACTTAATTAAAGGCAAACGAATCTAGCCCATACATCTTGATAGCCATCGCTCAGCAGTTTAATTACTAGTGATTCATAAGATTAGACATGTGAAATACACACTTCACCAGTTATATTTACGGTTTTTATATTCACTTCACTGGCAGTTAACCATTTCAATAATAAAAATAAACGATTCATTTCTTAGGCTTTTTGCAATTATTATGCGTAGAGCATTAAAATTACATTTTTTTAACTCCACATTATGTTTTTTGTGTCCATTCTTCTTAACAATACGACTTTCTGAATGAGTGGTACATAAAATATTTGATAAATACAAAAGGGCTTCCAAAAAGCTTATTCGAATAATATATATATTTCGTTTTAGCATCCACTTCTCAGTTCGCTATTTAAAAATCCCATTGTACGAATTCTTATTAAAAATACTATTATAAACTAGTTAGTATGTTAATTCTAGACATATTAATCTTACCATCCCATAAGAAATATAGTTAGGGTGTAAGCTAACACCCTTTCTGGTATGCTTGCAGAAGAGTTGGAACTTCTGCTGGCGAGTTGGGCCCACAACAGCCAGCAGATGCCCGCCCCACCAGCTGCACCTCCTACCACCATATATACAGGTATTCGGGGCTCGGCTGGGCAGTCCCTTATATACTGGACACCTGGAAACACTTACTATTAATCTTACGCACGTACACTACAGAAAAAGTAGTGCCCAAAACAACTTTTAGTTAGTGTCAAATGTCGAATGGTTGTTTTTCTGTTATCAAATCTAAAATGGCCGCCATAAGAAAATGGCCGCGTATATATTTCTGTTTTACCAACTATATTGGTATCGAATGAAAGGGCTTCTGTTATAGAATACAATACACCAAATAAAAGCTTGTTTAAAAATAAATAATTTGTTTTCCCTTTATTGTTGATATTACTTTTGAACTAAACATGATTTTAAAACAGTAAAAAATAGTTTTTGATAACTTGAAAACGATTTCATTAAACCTTTTTCTTACATCCGACGCACATTTTTTATTCATACAATGGGTTCACTATACTCGCCAATGATACTACTTTTAAAATCAATCAAAATACATATTAAGAAATTTAGGTAAAAAAATTATCTATTATATGTGTTACTACCAACATGCTCCCGCTTCATAAGGCAGTATAATATTGGTAAAAGAATTTTCCGGACCGATCTCACAGTTTCGGGGCTATATAACATTAGTATAGATAATATTTGTGATAAATAGGCTGCCAGGCATATCTTATATCAGTTCAGACGTAAGATATTTAATCAGGAATTCAAAGCTCGTCGATGTAGCTACTACAAACATAGAATATTGTTTTTCCTTTGATCATAGGATTCTGAGAAATGTTATTTTATAAAAAGGTACTTTTTATGAAATACATTTCCATTTTTATGGTATATTTAAGACAATCATCGATATTCATTTTTATAAAAAAGAATATAATTGATATATTTATATAGTACTCAATGAAGAACACTTAAAAATCCACCAGCTTCAGGTACTCTGCGATGGGACTTGAATCCACTACCTTTCGCAATCCGGGTGAAAGCTATAATCAAGGAGCTACCCAGGATCCAACAGGACTGACTAATTTTTCAAGCACTTTTTAGTTTTCGCTACTAATAATTTTCATCAATGTTCAGGCAATCCCAAAAAGCCGAAAGAAATATTATTTTAACTTCCGATTAAGATAAAAATTTGTTCTAATTATTATATTTGATTAATATTGCATTCACAGTGCTCTACTGGAAAATATTCTTAATGAACAGTGCAAAATAGATTTTTATCAATTAATTGTTTTAAACTATTAATAAACACAGATTGTCTCAAATCCACCCATACCTTAGATATATGTTTTTTTTTTTGTGGAATAGGGGGCAGACGAGCAGACGGATCACCTGATGGTGAGTGATTACCGCCGCCCATGGACACCTGCAACACCAGAGGAGCTACAAGAGCGCTGCCAGCCTTTGAGGGACGAATATGCTCTACGCTTGAAAATTTGAAGGTCGTATTGGTCCGGAAATATCGCTGGCGACAAAATGTTCCAGAGTTTGGCTGTGCGAGGTAGAATCTTCTAGAAAAATGCACAGTTGAGGACTTCCAACCATCCAGATGATGGGCGTGGATTTCTCGTCGCGTGGAACGTAACGGAAAGTAGCGGCAGGTATGAGTCCGAACAATTCCTCGTAGCATTCCCCGTGATAGATGCGATAGAAGATGCACAGTGAAGCAACATCTCTACGCAGGTCCAGTGGATCAAGCCGACTTGAAGTGTCCCGGTAATCGACGATTCGAGTCGCTCTCCGCTGAATGCGGTCTAGAGGGAGAAGCTGGTATTGGGGTGCACCTGCCCAAAGATGAGAACAGTATTCCATATGGGGCCGAACCTGCGCCTTGTAAAACTGCAGGCGATGCGCCGGAGTGTAATACAGCCTAGCTGTTACAGGAATGATCCTATAAAATAATTAAACTACAAGTAAAACAGGTTGTTTATACCTTCAGTTACAGGGAGAACGGACAAGTGGTATAAATAACGTTACGTTCAGTTTTCAACATATGCTCAATTAGAAATGATATTATAAAATCAAAATCGTTTATTCAGTCTAGGCTTTTACAAAGCACTCATGAAAGTCGAAAACTACGCCATCGGTTCGCAAAACTACGGCGGGAGACCTTGTACTGAGAAGAACCGGCAAGAAACTCAGCAAGGCTTGTTATTTCCTCCCTGTTTTATTTCACACAGAAAGTCTTATTGAGAAGTGACTTCATTAGAATATGAAGTCATTTTCCATTATAATATTAGAAAATTATTATACGAATATAAATATTCGATAAAAGATGATAAATATGTCTGTCTACTATTCGGCGAACATTAGTAATTCTATCCGTCTTAAATAGATTATTATAGAAGAACTGCTTGTTTTCCTGTTACTCGCGTATGATGTATTAAAACAAATAAACAATCCAATGTTAATAATATTATTCTACATGCACATTAATTAAATATTTGCTATTTGGTTATTGGTTATGAAATGTTAAATGTGTAATAAATTATCGAAGAAAGATTCATGAGTAGATTAAATGAATCAGGTGATTTACTATACTCGCATATGTATAATAATAGTATATATTAGACCCATTATTAACATTCGCACTATTATCACAAGAATAACAACGTTACGTTAGTCGATAAAATGTAGGCCAATCACATACCGGCTAGTTAATTAGGGACCGTAGTAATCTCTTGTCCGATAGAAGCGCCTTATTGTATCGAGGATGGTAATTTGATTTGCACTACTGCTATTGAGATACGACACTGCTTTAATGAAATCGTTAATAATAATAGTAATAGTATAGTATTATAATATTTGTAACAATGTCAATAGCGTTACATCTGTGCCGGGTTCGATGCTTAGGCAAATGAATAAAAGGCTTAAGCTTGAGAACTGATTTAATAAAAAGGTAAACAAAAAAAAACTGTAACAAACAAAAAAGGAATATAAAGACAGTTCGTATTGTTACCTAAATAATATATTAAAATAATTACATACACTTTTTCTTCGGGTTTGGTGAGTAATTTAACTTTATAATATTTGATTTGACATAGTATACATTTACAACAGGCAAAAAAATAGATAGATTAAAACGCTTTTTTTTTTTACAAAAAATTGCAAATGATTGAAAGTAAGTATGTTTAATGTATAATCGACGAATTTTAATGAACTGACATTCATAAAGAGCATATTGGATTACTCGAAATTTCAAATTAAGAAAAGAGAATAATAAAAATAAATGATGTTGAAGATCAAAGACAAAAAGTTTGTATGCGGATACCCGAATCCTATGTTCAATACAGTATTAGTAACTACTAATACTGTATTGAACATAGGATTCGGATTTATTGTTACGGTCGCACCTATAAATCTTATTTGAATAAAATATATATACTCCAAATTAGAATACTAAAAAATATAGTCTCGGATAACATTAGAAAAGAATATAGAAATGAGGACATTGGTCTATTTAAGCATTGCCGCATTCTACCTGTAATGACTCAATACAAATACATTTTTCTGAAACAATACTATTTTGATAATAGGATACAGATTGAACGTCAACATCCTGTATTTACTAGAGCAGATGCTGAGCGCCGGCTGTGTACCGCTCGTGCGAATAATACATACGGCGAACGCACTTCAGTGTACTTGGTACCCCGGTTTATTAACGAACTAGTGGACGCCCGCGACTTCGTCCGCGTGGAAGTCGGTATCCCGTGGGAGTGAGAAGTTTTCCCAGTAAAAAGTACCCTATGTGTTATTCTGATGTATAACCTATATTGCTGTAAAGTTTTATCCAAATCCGTCCAGTAGTTTTTTCGTGAAAGAGTAACAAACATCCATACATCCATACTTACAAACTTTCGCCTTTATAATATTAATAGGATAGGATTACCCACAGAATTAAGAAAAAAATATTACATTAGCAAATATTAAAACAAAACTTAAAACATACTTTTTAAACAACTTAGCATGAAACAGAATTGAGAAATGAAGGCACAACATGTCTGTGTTAAGTGTAAAATGAAGGTGTGTACCATTGTTGTTGTAACTTAATAAATTTGCACTGATATATGAACAGCATTGGCACAACCTTCGTGGTTTACAAATGCTGTAAAAAACTTAAAAGTGTAACTATGTTTAATACTGTTATGTCATAAAAAAAACCTAAGACGAAATAAACGGTGGCACGGAGCACCGTTACACATCTGTACATATTACGAGTATAATACAAAGTCGCTTCCCGCTGTCTGTACGCTAAGTTCTTTAAATCTATTACGGTTAACATAAATATTCGGAGTGATTCGAGAGAAAGATTTATATGTAAACTACAGGGATTTAATCACTAGGAAACCGTTCAGAATGACAAAAAACTTCCTACATGTTTATTAAGGTTTACTACAATTGATCCAAATCCTGACAAAAAAAAACTTCTAATTACAACTAAGCCTTTACAGGATCGTTTACTCAAAATAAAAAAAAATGATTTATTTGATTTGTTGGATTGTCGTCAGAATATTCGAGAATCAATTTTAAACCAATTAACTTCCCTTGATTGGACTGAAATTTCACGATACGCTTGATTTAAATGAGACCGTTTTAAATTTATTACGTTAGTTGCCATAAAATCGTCATTCGAATGAGTTTGAATTACATTCTATATTTAAATAAATGTATTGTATAGACACGTTGAGACCATCTACATAAGTTTCCCGCCGGCTTTGTCCTCATGGTCTAATTTTTAGTCCAGTAAAGAGAAAATTCCATAAAATTTTTCATCCCCTAATTACCCCTTAGGGGTCAAATTTCGTAAAACGCGCTCTTAGTGAGGACCTACGTCCTAAAAAGAACCCGCATGTAAATTTTGAAACTCCTAGCACTTGTAGTTACGAAGTTTCATACAAACTTTCATCCCCTAATTTAGCCCCTTCAGGGAGGAATTTTCAAAAATCATCTCTTAGCGTTACACTCGCGTAATTTTCATTCCAAATTTCAACTTTCTATGCTCAGTAGTTTCGGCTGTACCATGTCTGTCAGTCTGTCACTCAGTCACTCGGTAATGCAAGAATTTTA